GACGCACGTGGCCCCCTCCTGCGGGCCCCTGGGAAACACGTCGAAGATGCAGCTGTAGCAGCCCTCGTCCTCGGACCCCACCCTCTGGATGGTGATGTAGCTGCCGTTGCTGTGCGAGGCGTTGAGCTGCACGTTGGGCTCCTGATGGCTGACGCGCACCGGCTCGCTCTGCTCATACGCCAGCAGGACCTTCTTGTGCCGGTCGAGCCACCGCACCTGCCGCACGGTGTCGCCCGTCTCCGTGGTGACGGAGCAGCCGAGCAGCAGGGGGAGGCCTGCCTCTGCTGTTACACTGGCGGGAGCTACCACCTGACCTGAAATCAGACAGACATTTTTTATTAATTGGTGGCATCTTGATATATCGTTGACATCCACCAGGATCAATTTTTTATTTAATTTGTATATATATATATTCACATTTTCATTTTAACATTTGGATTGTCTTCGTTGTGAATGTATTATCTTTTTTAATGTATATACACACACAACACCTATTGCGCATCTTCTGCCATATTGTGTGAACATTTTTAAGCAGAACTTCTTTGTTTTTTAGTCGTTCATGTTTGAATTATGTTTCCACGTTGAACAAATGTCAAAGGTAAATCAGGGTGAGTAAGTGATAAAGAAATGGTGCTTCTGTGGGCATCATCAAGGCCAACATTTTTTCAAACAGAAGACACCTTATTTATAAGGAAACTGAGCTCACTAGAGTTAGATTTTCCTCCATAAAATGAAAACTATAAGGAATATGAAACATACCTTGCGTCCTGGACACAGCCAGTCCTGAGATCCAGAGCAGCACACACAGGAGGGCGGGTCCACACATCGCACACTGAGGCCGGGTTACCAACACACGAATCACATCCAGGCTGCTGCTGCAAACACAGACACTGTCAGAAAACCTGTACAGAAACTACGAGGATGAGGAGGCTGAGATGAAGACTTACCCCGCTCAGAGGTCCAGTGTTGTTGAGCTGCTGCTGGTCAGTACAGTCTCTGCATCTCACTCACACCGCCTGCTGCAACATGAGCCAGAGGATGACATTAGCCATGACATCATCATAACAGATTACACTCTTTACTTAGCGCTGGAAAAAAACGATACAAATGTCCTTTTTATTGCAGCTTTGGGACATTAGTTGCAGTGAAGTACATTTACTCTAGTACTGTACTTAAGTACTATTTTGACATACTTTAACTTGACTTGAGTAGCCATTTTATGCTACATATGATCATACTCCTCAAATTTGTAAGCAAATATATTACTTTAACTCCTCTTAATTTATTTCCCAGCTCTCTACAAATTCAGATTATTAGCCAATACAAAATATAAATCAACTAAGAGCCGGCCAGCTAACCAATGAGAGCAGACTGGGCTCTGGTTTCAGACAGAGGGTGAAAAGAGATGCTGCAGCACAGACAGTCTGAGAAAAATAAAGAGCTTCAATCAATCAATCAATTAATAGGATACGGCTGTAATAGGCCTGAGGCCTTTTAGTCGCTCATAAATAAATGAGTAGATCACGGATTCTTTATTTACTATGGATGCTGGCAACAGTCACATCGTCCAAAGTGAAGGTGATGTTTCACCAGTAATGGTCGAGGCGGGATTTGAGACAGTTAACCGTCTTGGATGTGACAACGCTTTCTGGCAGATCATCCCACAAGTCAACCACATGCAGGCTGAAGAAGTTGCGGCGGATAGCCAGTCTTGAGTACCGTTTCTTCAACTTGAGGCAGTGTCCACGAGTCCTGGTGTTATAATCCCGTTATAGTGGGCATGATGTTTTGTAGATGTTGTGGAGATATTTGAAAACTTCGATCATATCTCCCCTCGCCCTTCTATAATTCATACTCGGGATTTTAAGACGTTGCAGTCGTTCTTGATATGGTAGGTCCTTTAGTTCTGGAACCAGCTTCGTTGCCCTTCTCTGTATTTTCTCGATGAGCTCAGCATCCTTTTTGTACATGGGGGACCGAGCGACATTCCCATACTCGAGGAGTGGCCGTACAAGAGAGATGTATAAACTACGTACTACGTCAGAGTCCAAATAAGTGTATGATATGCGGATCATTGCTAGGATACCATTCGCTTTGTTACTTGCCCGACGGATATGGTCACTAAATGTCAGGGTATTGTCAACATTCACACCAAGGTCCTTTTCATTCTGAGTCTCGGATAGGTTTATAGTGTTTGAATTATCACCCATATTATACTCATATTTTTTATTCAGAAAACCTAAGTGCATTACTTTGCACTTTGCTGCATTGAATTTGAGCTGCCAACACTCGGACCATCTTTGTATTTCTCTGAGATCTGACTGGAGTTTTTCTGCATCCTCTTTACACTTAATTTCCTTGAAGACTTTAGTATCATCTGCAAACATATGGACCCTGGAGCTCACAGTATCGGGTAGGTCGTTGATATAGAGGACAAACAGTGCAGGACCCAGGACACTACCTTGTGGAATTCCACTGAGAACTGGGCACCATCCAGATGGTTTCCCGTTAACAAAGACTCTGTCGCCTGTTTTTGAGAAAGACTGAGATCCAGGTGAGTATGTCTCCATGGATACCATACCCATAGAGCTTATTCAGTAATCTTTTGTGAGGTACAGTATCAAATGCTTTCTGGAAATCCATATATATAGCTTGTTGAACATTAAAGCATGGAGACATGTTCCAGTAGAGACACTAAAGATAAACATGAACCTGAACATAATAATAATAATAATAGCTTAGATTTATATAGCGCCGTTCATGGGACCCAAGGTCGCTTTACAAGGAAGAACAGGGCAAAACAAACATAACAAAAGGCAGTCAGACAACCAGTCAGACAGACAAAACAAATAGATTAGGGGCCAAAGGCCTTGGTGAACAGATGGGTCTTGAGGGCCCTTTTGAAGGCGTCAAGCGTGGGGATGTTGCGGATCTCCGCGGGGAGAGCGTTCCAGAGGGTGGGGGCTGCCACGCTGAAGGCTCTGTCCCCGAAGGTTCGCAGTTTGGTGCGGGGGTGGTAAGCAGGCCAGAGTCTGAAGACCGCAGGTTCCGGGGTGGGGCATGTGGGTGAAGGATGTCCGATAGGCACTGGGGGGCATGGGCACGGAGGGACTTGTAGGTGAGGAGGAGGACTTTGTATGATATGCGGGACTTGAACATGAGCAGAATAGGGCCCCTTTAAGTGCAAAATCTACTAGTATTTCTTCTAGCACTGATTAGTTGCCATGGTTCTGCCATGTATAAGCGTCAACAACAAACAGATGCTGAGACAGGACACGTTCCCTGGGGTCTAATGCAGGTTTTACGTGATAACCTACGTGCAGTAAAGCCACGATCATCCGGCGGTAAAAACAAGCCGACACACTTTGATGTCTAGACTACCTGGAGATTTCTAAATCCAAACACAGAGAAATGACAGGATGGTGATGCAAGGTGTAATGATGAGTCACTACTGGATCACCACAGGAGCGCTGTTAGGGTGTGTGGAGGGTAAATATACCTCTCTCAGGTCATTCTTTCGACAAAAGGCTGGACACAGCAGGGATCAGACTCTAAAAACCACATCTCAGGGCTGTGTGTGTGTTTCTTTTACAGTGCCAAACATCTGGATTCAAACATGGAGCCTTCTGTTCAGCTCAAGTTAAATCACTTTGCCTCTACTGATGTCTCACATATGATCCCATCAATCAACTCTAAGGGCTTTTATTGTGCAAAACTAGCAGGTAGAGCTTAAAAAGGTAATGAGTTTCACTATAAGGAGAGCTGACACTTCAAGAGAGGGACTGAAATCATAAACTACACCCAGATGTGCACTGGACTGCAATGATTAGAAGAAATAATCCACGACTTTCTAAAACAAAATGCACTTTAGGTTAATTTTTCATGCACAAATGTCAGAAAATGCAGTTTGAGACTCTAAAAATGGAGATGTTCCAACTTTTCCCTATTAAATTCATATTTAAGTGAATAGATGTGTGTTTTGTACACAAATGAATGACCTTTTTCACTTTTCCCCCACATTTATTTCACAAAATGAAACGCTGAAACTGTATTTTTGTATAAAAAAAGAGTAATTGCAATAATGTAAAAATAATTTCACCCACAGAAAAATAGTATAACTGGACTTATACATCCAGAAACACTAAGAAAACAGCAAGATGTTTATAAATAAGGGTGTAAGCAAGTCAATTAAGCTTACAGGTAATTAACTTAACTAACGCGGATTTAAACTTATTTTTGAAATGTAGGTCAGTGACACAGTGTGCGAGTTAATGATGAGGGAAAACAACACCTATAGAAGACGTTAAATATCGTTTTCAAAGTGCTACAACATTCATATCTTCACAGACATATCCCAAAAAGTTTCACAATTACACAAATGTAGGTGTGTTTACATTGTTGGAGGAAGTAAACCAACTACAAACATTTTCAAGTTGCTCCATATCGGAAAAAAGCATCAAACTCACCCCCTGGCTGAAGAAGGTCCTCAAAAACACTGAGAGTTCCCGTATGTGAGGTGTTGTCTGAGCTGCAGGTAATGCGAGAGTGCAGCATGCTTCAGATTGAACTCAGAGCAGCGCCCAGAGTTTCCGGCTGCTGCGTTCACTGCCTGATCTCTTAGCATCAGATCAGCAGGAATGTGGAAAGTGCGACCTCCAGTGGCCATGCGACGCAACTGCAGCCAACAAAATGCACCTGACATACCAAATATATTTCTTTAGATTATTTATTTATCATGTCACTATGTTCTATCTAGAAGTACCTGATTTTCATTACTTTATATTCCTCCACTGTATTTTCTAAACTACCAATACAATTATATTTTATCTGGGGTTTGTTATCTCATAATACTCACCATTAATATAGAAAACCAAAATCTTACGACTCCTTTACCTTACTTGTAACATCATTACCCTTTAATAAAGTTATTATGATTTATTTTCAAAGCCCCAAAATTCCACCCTTACGCCGTAATGCTTATAAAATAATAAAAACACAAATTTAGTTTTGAGATTTTATTTTACAACATTTTTAAACATTCATTATATAATCGGTTTGAAAAAATACCCAATCATTTCAAGATTGTCATATTTGCACATTTTATAAAGCACATATTCTGTGTTTTTTAGTAGTCGTAGTAGCTGGTGAGTCTTCTATAGTGTTTTTTTATTTTAAATTGTGTACTCTCTACGTCAATTCATGTGCAATGCAATTACATGCAAAAATAAATCCCAATTTGAGATCAAAAAAGTATATCTAATCTAATATCAGATGTATTCATTTTATATTAAAACAAATACAAAAAGTATCAACAAATATAAAAGAAGACATATAAAACAAATATGTACAAAAAAAAGGTCTAAATTATTTCACAGATTAAATCAAATTATCTAAATGACTGTACATGAGTCTTTCTGATTGCTGGATATTTTCCTATGAACTGGAACAGACATGTTGAGTTATGGTTTCAGGACTATATTACTGTTGTGGCTCTACAGTCCTGAGAGATTTAGTTTGTGATCATGAAAAAAGATTATTTTTAACTTTCAGATGTGATGTTTCCGAATTGTTGTTCTTTTTCCCCCCAGGAGTCCGTTGCCGTAGCTCGTTCTCTTCCATCATTAACGGTGTTTGGGCCCTTCAGATAAAAACAAGAGGCAGTTTCAAATAAGTTATTGGGAAGTAGGAATCAAGATAAATATTTATAATAAAGGAATAAACTGACTTACTCAAGAGAGGCTTTGGTTGATTTCTGAGGTGTCTTGGTCCTCTCAGAGTCCTTCTCCGACACACTGAAGGATTTAAGAAGAAGATATTTAATGTATTATATATTCACGTTGAAGCATAGCAGACTAGGACTACATCTTAACCTATAACATATTATTAGTTGATTATATTTTGCATTATTAATTAGAACATTGAAAGTGACTAAAGGTATGAAATAAATGTAGTTTATGTAGATACAGTATACCTGGTTAAAGGTGAAAGTGTGTTTTGTCCTGTGGGAAAGGTGCTTTAATAGGAGTAGAGTTAATAGTATAAAATTACCTTTTCAGATGTTTTCTTAAACACAGGAAGGCAGTGATTGCAACAGCAACACACACACAGAAGAGTACCACAGACACAATGATCAGAGCCAAAGCTGTGAGAAAAGAGGAGACAACATGAATAAAGCAAAATACAGATAGAATTGTAATACTGACTTAAGGTTACCTAGAGCATTGCTTCTCAAACTTTTTTCAGTAATGTACCCCCTTTGAAACATTTTCTGCCAAGTACCCCCTGACCGATCTCGAACATTTTTGATCGAAAAAGCCTATATGAATAATTACAATATAGTGATGTTCCCTCAGCTCAGTGTGTGATGTATTAACTCCTTCGTGGTATGCATTACAACAAACTAAGGATATTTTCATTTCATGCATGAAAAAAAATAACATAACAGATTTTTCCAAGGAGTTTTTCAATTTAAGTAATATGTTATTGTGAAAAACTATAAAATACAATACACACATTTGACATGTTTATATGAGGACCCCCTTGGTGGTTCTAGGAATGTTTTATATAAAATTGTGTTTTCTATTTAACTTATTTTACTAAGATTATTTTTTTAATCAACCTTTTTTTTTTAAATTGTTTTTAAATCTCACGTACCCCCTGCAGTACCCCTGCAGTACCCCCAGGGGTCCGCGTACCCCCATTTGAGAATCACTGACCTAGAGGATAACTTACCAACACCACTGTTATCAGGCCGGGAGTCTTCTTCAGAGCCTGGAGAATAAAAACAATGAGCTACTGTACAGAGAAATCGTTAACTTTCTTGGATTTTTGTGGAAGTTTTTCTCACCTTTAATAGCCAACATTTTGACCTCTGGGATCGCCATGGACGCCTCTTTCTGAGGAGCAGTGAGAACTTGTGCGGCACATCCAACCTCTCTGCTGTTGTTGTGGAGACGAGCTGTCACGGTGACAGTGAATGTTCCGTTGCTATTGGCGACAGAGGTAGAGTTGTAGGGAGTGACATCCAGGGTTACCGTGGGAGCAGGTCGACCTGTGGCCGAGCAAGAAACCACCGAGTCTACGACGTGCAGAAAGGGTTCGTGCAGCTCTGCAAAGAGAAACAGATTTTAATACAGAGGAGGCAGATGAGGGAATGGGAACCGCGGTGCATTGTGGGACGTAGATATTTAGCATCCAAAATTCATAAATATATTTTCCCTTAACTGCGCCTGTCTGGTGATGGGAGTTAGCGCCTACACCTGTATGCTATTAAAATGATGTATCGTATCCTCAGAAGATCGCTGACCTGCTGTTGATGACGTCCCATTCACTAAAATAAATATGTTTTTTAACAAAGTCTCTTACCATAGATCTGGAGGCAGGTTCTCCCGATGAAAGCACCTTCAGGGATGGTGTTAAACAGACAGCGATAGCATCCTTCATCTCGCTCCGTGACGTTCATGATATTTATGGAGCAGTTCTGCAGTCCAGCAGTTTTAAACTCCACTCTTCCTCTAAAACCAGCATTCACTGTCTGACCAAACTTTCTGGTGTAAGTAGCAATATTGTCTTCGCCCACAGGGAGGATTTTCTGCCAGGTGACTTGCAGAACATTCTTGGATTGCATCAGTTGACACTGTAAGCATGACTCTTCTCCCACTGCTGCCATCACAGTGAGCTGGGTCTCTACCAGAGCGCTCAGACCTGCAGGGGGGGACAGTTTCAGGGAGAAACATTACTTCAGTCAAAAAACAGTGAGGACTTATATTCAATCACATTATAACAGGTTTTAACTTAACATTTCAGTCTTATCTTATTTAGAAAATCGAACTATTAATATATTACACTACACTGTAACTTTTATTCATGTATTTTATACCTGTTTTATTCTATAATAGCCCGTTTCATGTACATTTTATTCTCTTTGCTTTTTAATAACATTTTTAGTAGTAATTTTATAATCTCGCTGCACTATTTCTCAATGCTCTTAATGTCTTTAATTTTTGTAAAGCACTTTGAATTGCCTTGTGTTGAAGGACGGTGCTATATAAATACACTTGCCTTACCTGTGGTAATGTTTTATTCGTAAAGTAATTTGTATCTTTTGAAAATACGATATCAAATATACATGTTATCACACAAACAATATATATTTTTATTTAACCGCCAAAAACGTACTAACCTACCTTCCCAATAACGAAAGAACAACAACGCTACAAGGTTCACCCAGCGGTGTGTTTAAGAATAATAAATAAGGTTATATTACGTTAATGTGTCTTCTATTTCTTACCTTTCTGAAATAGTCCAAACGCACAGAGGAATATAACCGCACGTCGAGACATCTTCTCCTCTTTTACCGCCTAACGTTCAAATTCAAAGTTTCACTGACAGTTTCCGGGCAAATCGAAACTAAATCATAATCGTTAACGACAGAGACTGTGGGACTGGGAGTGGAGACCATACATGGAGACGCACTCAGATCAAAGTAGAAGTACTTTTTCGTTTTTTCTTTGCAAAACTAAATGCATTAGTTTGTAGATGGTGTTTTGTATTTGCTAACCACATTGTGTTTGTTAGTGAATCATGAGGCATTTGTGGAGTTATGGCAGGAAATTAGCTCCATATCAGAGTGTAGGAATACTCTGTGACAAGTAAAAGTCCTGCATTCAAAAGGTTCCATTTTAGAATAATATGATATGTTTTATAATGATTGATCACCGCGGTGAAGTTAGTTTGAATGACTTTTATATACAGGGTAGCTTGTGAATAGGCTACTATCACTTACTTTATTTCACATCATTAATCCAAATCTGTAAGTAATTTAAGGGACTAATACAAGTAGTTGAGTAGAAGTACAATATTTGCCTATGAATTGTAGAAGACAGTCGAGAAAAAATGAAATACTCTTACTTAAGTACAGTACTTGAGTAAATGTACTTAGTTACTTTACACCGGTTTTATTAACCCACAATCTAATAATATATGACACGAGTTGGAGAATACATTATTTATAACACACAGTATATCAACACGTTGAACATATTGCAGATAAGAGTTTAATAATCCAGTGTAAAACATTGATGCAACATTATATTAATACACACAATTAGCTCTTTAACACATATAGAGCCCTACAGTTACAGTTCATGAGGAAATATGTCTATGGTGCAATAAATAACATTTGGACAGAAACGTTAAAGTGCAAAAATAGCAGCAACATACATAATATGATCATGTTAAATATGATGTATAATTAATAAATATAGTTTCTTATTGTTGACTTAAACAATCACCTGGTTGCTCTATAATATCAACCTAATCACTTGATAGAGGTCAAATTTGCTGCAAAATTAACACAATAATACATATTTTTCTTCCTGTGATTTTCTTCCTTCTTTCTCTTTCTCCCCCACACAGCACACCAAAACAGTTTTTCATATCTTCCTGTTAATGAAAACCTTTTATATTGCACTATGCTGCCGTCACTCTCACCCTGAATAACAGCGAAGTGCTTTCTACATGTGATGGATTAAACTTGAAAGTAGACAGTGAAAAAATCATTTTGTAAACATTTGACCACTTGCTTTGCTGATGCATAAAGTGCTGAATAATTAAATTAACGTTTTAAAAACTATCTGTGACACTTGGTTTGCAGCTTTTATATTAAACACTATTAAAGGTTACATTAAAACTAAATTTAAATCATTATTGCCCATTTTCCTTTCGTCTGGTCTCCTGGACCTGCCAGGAAGAAAGACACGCTTGTTAACCCTACTTGCAATACTTCACTATAAGGAGAAGGATGTACAAATGTTAAATATCTCACCTTGTTCGCTTTATTACAACAACAACGATGATTATGATGATGATGATGATGAAAATGACTGAAACTACAGTAGAAGTCACAAGTGCAGTCCCTGAGGTGGACTGTGTTTTCCCTGCACACAGAACAAGATTAAGGTTAATGACCTTTAAAAGAGAAAGAGGAAGGTGGGAAATGTCAGGGTAACATGATCTGTCATGAGGTGACTCAGAGAGCAGATGATATCACAGAAAATCATTTTCCTGTTGGTCAAAATGAAAGCTAAGAAGAAGTGAAACTGAAACAACGTCTAAAAATAAGGGGGCTTTACTGCACTGCTGACTCTGTTGACACCGTCTCGAGCTCTGGGAGTTTTTTGACTTCTTGTAATGATTATGTGCAGCATGAGGAAACCTACTGTCAATGATGAGTCACAGCATTGCAGTTTAACAATAGAAGTGTGGCGTCGTACCGGCAGTAAGTAGACACTTAAAGGAGACACTTGTAGGAAATTACAACTTTGTGTTAAAAAGGTTCCACCCTGGTCAAAGTGACAGGGGGGGGGGGGGGGGGGGGCAAATCCGGCAGCCATAACACCAGCTTTGTCCGAGTTAAAAGCCCCCTTACATTGTTTTACCTGGAACCCAGAGTAAAGTCCTCCAGAGTATGACACCCTCCTGCGCCAATTTAAGCAGGCAAACACCCCAACAGCACACTGTGAGCAGGGTGTGGTGTCAGTAAACATCCTTCCAGTCAGTCAGCATAATACATCCGAACATTTCCAGGATGCTGATCATCATGAGTAACTTCCAGCTAAAGAGCATGTAATACAAAAGGATTGTCATGCATACCTTCCTCTTTCTGCTTCTCCCTGGCAGGCAAAGAAAAGGGAATCCTCTCGCTCCTCTGTCCCATGGCTCCACTGTTCAGCAGACAGTCCACATGTCCTTCCCACCCAGCAGGGAGTCGCAGAGTGATGTTGCTGCTGCTGGTAAACGTCTTGTCTCCATTTGATACTGTAGTGATTGGCTGCCGGTGTGTGTGGGTGGCTTGAGAAGGGATTTCCCACTTTATGGTTGGAGCTGGTTTTCCTGTAGCAGAGCAGCTGAACACAACCTCCTCCTCTTCCTCAGGGTCACTGCTGGGAGCATGCACTTCTGTTTTAAAACTGGATATTCCTTAGAATAGAAAATAAGAAAACACTGACCTAAATGCTTTGCAGGCTTGAGGAGTAACCGATTACAGTTACATGCAAAGAGACGTAATCAGATTATTGTTGCAAAAAACTAGAAGGAGAATAATGTGTTTGTTGCAAAAGGATCAGATTTGATTTGTTCCTTGTAAACTGTACTGTTCAGACAACAACAGAGCCCTTTCTGTCAACTGAGATTTGATTTCTGCTTTTTAATATATGTGCTCATGTTTTTCATTGTTGGTGTCTACTTTACTCTTTACTTTATTTGCATATGAAATTGAGGTAATCCAAGCAATTACATTATTTGGACTTTTTCCCTATGTTGTGGAATATTTTCCAAGGCCCATAACTTTGACCCCAGTTTATCAGTTCAAACTGTCCTGACTGAGCGCACGCACCTTGGCTGCTGTGCTCTCAGTGTTCTGTCTTCCTGTTCCTGCCTGTTGGCGTCAGCTGATAGAGGTGTTATGGTTCTATGTTCCTGCCTGTTGGCGTCAGCTGATAGAGGTGTTATGGTTTTATCTTGTTATGCAGCATGTTGATGATGCTCTCAGAACTAGCTAAATACATGGGTCTGAGGTAGAGTTCTTTAGTGCAGTCAGACCGTGACTGCTGTGACTTGTGATGTGAACTCTCCGGCCGAAACTCCAAATAAACCTCCAGTGTTTGACATCAAAGCTCCTGCTCTACCGTGTCTCCTTCCTGAGTCGGTGACTCCCACTGCATTGCTACACAGAAGTTTCCCTTACAAATTACATGTTCTTGCATTTACCTTGCACTGTGAAGCATATCTGCTTCCTCATGGACCCATCAGGATACCGGTTGAAGGCGCAGATATAACAGCTTTCATCCGCCCAGGTGACGTTGGCCAGAGTGATGGAAGATGAGCTGAGCGTCGCCTCTGTGAAGATCACCTTACCTCTGTAGGGATCATTCACATGCTCCCCAAACCGCTTACTGTACGTCGCTAAATTCTCTATGGGCCTGTCCGGGACAAGCCTTTGCCATGTCACCTGCTGCACATCTGTTGGGAAATGGAAAACATCCAATCAACCATTTTTTCCCAAGTACTAATTGGACTTGGTAAATATTACAATTGTACCAACCAAACAACCAGGAAGACAGACAGTCAGTCAACCAACCAATCAAATACATAAATACAGTTTTCCCTACCTTTCAGGTTGGCTACAGCACATCCATATTTTGAATCCTGTCCATAGTCCACTGTCGTATTTCCATAACCAGTAATCTGAGACATGGATGCTGATAGGAAATGAAACAGCTGTGTCAGTGTATGAGAATGAAAGTAAAACCTGTGCTGTAAACATTCAAAGAAATAACAAGGATTAACTGTGAATAAAATACTAAGCTTATCTGTAGATTTTCAAAAAAGAAAAAGTCCTAGTCTTTAACATATTATGATATCAAATCACAAAATCACTTTAACAATTCTACAAATTAAACATAAACAACATGATATTATACATTTGACAACAAAAGAGCTGGATATATATTCTCTAACAGTAGGCAGAGAATTCAGAAGGGTTACCCTCTTCTTACCTGTAAACAGTAAAGCAGTCAGGGTGAGGATCAGTAACATCTTGTTCTGTTGCGTTCAAGTCCACTTGCAGTTCTGCCCTGCACCTTTAAAGGGCAGGATGATGTGATGCTGTAAACGAAACTGAAATGAAACTGAAGGAGTAGACAGTCACACGTCAGCTGTTATTGATTTGTTTGAGATTACAGTAAGTGCTCTGATAGACAAAATGATGGCTTTTTTTGTGTCATTAAGAGTTTTATTAAACAAAATAAAAAGACTCTGCAGAGATGTCTGTCAGGGAAAGTAACTGAGTACATTTACTCATACTTTGCAGATTCATATAATTAATAAATCATTTAAATCATCTACTGGATGATGAAGTACTTTAATGGAATAAGACGACCAACAGTAAAAAAATAAAAAGTACATTAAAGACAGCTCCACCATATACCAGATGCAAACAATTACATTTTCATTATCATCCAGTTGTAGAAATAAATATATTATTTAAAAACTGGCCTGGCATTATGAGTAATGTTTGTTTTAGTGTTTTATGCATAATATGATAATACTTTTTGCCCTTTTACTTAATGAATGAATAAATAATACATTTTATTTATCAAACGCTTTTACAGGTGCTTTTCGACAAAAAATAAATCTTATCTTCTAAAAATAAATCTTATCTTATATTTGACTTGAAAATCATATAACTTGGCTCTTATTGTAAATGTGAATTCCAGTTAATGTGTCTTTACCTTCAGCAATTTGTAAAAGTAAAAATCCCAGAGCAGAAGTTCCCACAGAGGTGTCACGGTCTAGACACCATTTCCCCTCAGTGTGGTGGACGCTCTATCAAATCTAAAGAGTGATACCAATGTGAGGCTGGACATTATTAGTACACCACAGTTTACTCGAGCTGAACTGGAAAGCCCATGAGAAGGCAGTCCTATCTCTAAAACAGAGAAATGCTGTTCAAGTCCCGGTTTTGAGTTGTAATGATTCCTGGATTCACATTTTTGTAAAGCATGTTTCACCTCAATATTTAAAGGGTTCCTATTGGGCTCATGTTCAGGGAGTGTGTGGGAGAGAAACAGATTTTAGCCTTTGCAGACCATTAACATGCACAAAAACCTATATTCACTATAAGAAAGACCCCATGAGATCACCAAAAAGCATACAGTGCCCCTTTAACATCCTTTTAGTAATATGATTTCACGTTTAGTCATCCTTCATAACATTCCTGAATGTTTTGTCTTCATGAAACCTTTGAGTTTCAGGAAGCAGGATGAAGTATCACAGCCCCGCTAACAGGAAGGATTCAAAGAGGACACACACACTTGAAGAAGCCCAAAGCGGGGTTAAACCCAGGAAGTTTGATTGGCAACAAACCCTCATAATTAAATCTCTTGTGTAATCTTGTTTACAAAATGCAGGGAAGTCCCAGTTTATTTCCTCTAAATTATTTAATTTTATCTTCGGAAAGAACCTAGCTCTAATTCTGTGGAAGTGGCTAATACTATAATTTGCAGCCTTGGGGATAAAAATGAATAAAGATGATATCATTATCGCATTAATTCATGCTATAAAAACATCTAAAGTCATTAAGATAACACTCTAAGTAGGAAAGTCCCAGGTTTAAATGTAAAGTATGAAGGTGTTTCACAGGAAGACTATCTTATATCTACCATGTAATTTAAAACCACATGTACTTTGGAAATGTAAAACTATCAGCCTGGGAAGTACCTGTGCTACCTGGCAGCAGTTAAATAATGCCCCGGCCACACGAGGACGAAAACGGCTAAACGCATAGGATTAACGCAAACGCAATCGCAAAAAAGCTTCCGTCCACACGCAATAGTCATCCGGATAGTAGGCTTGTTTGAGACAAGCGAGACCTGCGCAGTTGCGATCAACGTCTTGCTAGTGCGTTGCATGATGGTTAGTCATTTTGTCCGACTTGCTCTGGAGGCTCGCCTACATAAGACGTTGAAATCTCGCGGGACAAAGACGCCCGCAGCCTTGAGAGCGAGGCGTGGCGAGGCGGCGCAGTTCCTCTCCACGAGCTGCGGAAGCGAAATGCTTGATGGGAAACGGCTCGCTGGTATCTTGAGCTGAGCGCTCATTGGTGGTTTTTACCCCGTGCTGCTGATGAAACTCTCCAATTGGCTCGGCAAAAGTTTGTTGTTGTTTTGTGTCAGTTTTACGTCGCCACATCCATTCCCATTTTTCATCATTGTTCCACAATGTTTATCATCATGACATTAATATCTATATATTTGATACTATACTTGCACTGCTTACCGTTTTCATACTTTATATATCTTAGCACATTCATACACACTGTTCATACTGCTCACAGGCTGATATCTAGTGTATTCATACCCCTCACTGTTTATTCATCATTCAATTCATTCTATATTTTATTCTGTCTATTGTGTACATTACTTTTCACTTCACTGCTTGTTGTACCTGGTTAGAAGCTAAACTGCATTTCGTTGTCTCAGTACCTGTAATATGTGCAATAACAATAAAGATGAATCTAATCTTGAGCAGGAACAAATGTATTTACTTAGTACCAGGGGCGGATCTACGGGGGGCAAGGGGGGGGGGCAGCTGCCCCCCCCACTGTAGAGCCTTGCCCCCCCAGCTGCCCCCCTAACTTTTGTTTCCCTAAAACTGTACTAAAACAATCCTACACTATTTCTACAAGCTTCTCATGCAACGAAACGAGCATTACATTAGTTAAAAGTGAATCATTTTAAATATAATTTTAGGCCCGTTAAAAACGCAGCTACGGCCCTGCATTAAACTGCGAAGCGGCGTTCACACAGACCGCGGCTCACAGAGCTGCAGAGAGGGAGCGAGCTGTCCCAGCGCCGATGGGTCAGCTTCCCCTGGGAGCATTTCCCTTTCCACTAGTTTTGATTTTACTAAGGACGAGAGCTTGAAACTAAATATTAATAAAACGCTGCCGTTTGAATCGATAGCGTTTAACAGATGGGCGCTGTTTGGGGCGTTACGTTACAAAATACTACGCAGACAGCGTTAGCTGGGAGATCGATCACTTTGCTAAACTATGCGGTAGCCCACTATTAAATCCACGTAAACTACACATCACAGCAATGAAGCCAGATCAATGAAACCAGGATACATCCTTTACCGTAAAAACTGGATCCAAACACAGCTGCCTGTGTGCGTTTGATAAATACTTTCTGATGATATGCTACTTATTAGCTAGGCTACATGGCCCTAACGTGTAAAGTTATACAAGCATTTGTACCAGTGCTTTTCACAAGTAGACTCTTGCAGGCCAGAGTATAGGAGTGATTCAACAACAACAAAAAGACATATGAGAAGTGATCAGGACGAACAGAAAGAGGAAAAGGAAAAGAGAGATGAAGAGACCAGGAGGGTCAGAGCAGGAGAAAGAGGAGGAGATGAAGACATTAGTGAAGAAGAAGAAATATATGTGAGGAATAAAGATGAAGTATCAGAAAGAGGGCCAGAAGTAGGGATCAGGAGGCAGATGATTCAAAGAGGACATATTTGACTTGAAAATCATATAACTTGGCTCTTATTGTAAATGTGAATTCCAGTTAATGTGTCTTTACCTTCAGTAATTTGTAAAAGTAAAAATCCCAGAGCAGAAGTTCCCACAGAGGTGTCACGGTCTAGACACCATTTTCCCTCAGTGTGGTGGACGCTCTATCAAATCTAAAGAGTGATACCAATGTGAGGCTGGACATTATTAGTACACCAGTTTACTCGAGCTGAACTGGAAAGCCCATGAGAAGGCAGTCCTATCTCTAAAACAGAGAAATGCTGTTTTCAGACAAGTCCCGGTTTTGAGTTGTAATGATTCCTGGATTCACATTTTTGTAAAGCATGTTTCACCTCAATATTTAAAGGGTTCCTATTGGGCTCATGTTCAGGGAGTGTGTGGGAGAGAAACAGATTTTAGCCTTTGCAGACCATTAACATGCACAAAAACCTATATTCACTATAAGAAAGACCCCATGAGATCACCAAAAAGCATACAGTGCCCCTTTAACATCCTTTTAGTAATATGATTTCACGTTTAGTCATCCTTCATAACATTCCTGAATGTTTTGTCTTCATGAAACCTTTGAGTTTCAGGAAGCAGGATGAAGTATCACAGCCCCGCTAACAGGAAGGATTCAAAGAGGACACACACACTTGAAGAAGCCCAAAGCGGGGTTAAACCCAGGAAGTTTGATTGGCAACAAACCCTCATAATTAAATCTCTTGTGTAATCTTGTTTACAAAATGCAGGGAAGTCCCAGTTTATTTCCTCTGAATTATTTAATTTTATCTTCGGAAAGAACCTAGCTCTAATTCTGTGGAAGTGGCTAATACTATAATTTGCAGCCTTGGGGATAAAAATGAATAAAGATGATATCATTATCGCATTAATTCATGCTATAAAAACATCTAAAGTCATTAAGATAACACTCTAAGTAGGAAAGTCCCAGGTTTAAATGTAAAGTATGAAGGTGTTTCACAGGAAGACTATCTTATATCTACCATGTAATTTAAAACCACATGTACTTTGGAAATGTAAAACTATCAGCCTGGGAAGTACCTGTGCTACCTGGCAGCAGTTAAATAATGCCCCGGCCACACGAGGACGAAAACGGCTAAACGCATAGGATTAACGCAAACGCAATCGCAAAAAAGCTTCCATCCACACGCAATAGTCACCCGGATAGTAGGCTTGTTTGAGACAAGCGAGACCTGCGCAGTTGCGATCAACGTCTTGCTAGTGCATTGCATGATGGTTAGTCATTTTGTCCGACTTGCTCTGGAGGCTCGCCTACATAAGACGTTGAAATCTCGCGGGACAAAGACGCCTGCAGCCTTGAGAGCGAGGCGTTGCGAGGCGGCGCAGTTCCTCTCCACGGGCTGCGGAAGCGAAATGCTTGATGGGAAACGACCATGGATGTATAATAAGAACTGGATACAGCGTGGGAGGCGGGGCCTCATTCATTCCTATGAGAGCTGCTCATTAGCGCATGATGATAAAATGGCCCAACTTTTAAGAGAGTGAAACGTCACAGATTACCCAGCATGCCTGAGAAGTACCCGTATGTGCACTCATAGAGCATGCGCAACTTTAACCAAAATGCTCGTTCACATCAAGCACGTCAATTTGCGTACACGTAACAGCACCGCGCGTTCATGACAGCATGGTAATGGATTGTTGTTATCATGGATTTGATATGAACGAGGCGGCAGTTAGCAGCTAGCGGCTAGCTAGTAATGATGCTAATGTACACATCAATCGTTATGTACTTATATTACGCTGTAACAGGATCTAGTGATATCCAACAGAGCTTCATTTAGCATGAAATAATTATCGCACTGTATATATATATATATTCTTTCACACACACATACGGGTTTTGGGCCGAGGGCGACACCGTACTTCCGGTATCAACCATTTCACGCGAGGTGCATACAGAATATCATAGTCGATTGCCTTAATCAATATAGTCAACTCTAAAATACCACATATATGCATTGGCATGATAATATTATTGTGACAAGTGGGGTATTCACCTGGTGTTTCCAGAAGATAGACGTAGATGCAGCCAAAATCGACCGAAGGCCACTTTTGAGGGTCGTAATTCCATACATTGTACATCCAACAACCCACACAGCTCTAGTTTACGCTGGTAACGACCTAGAGCACACCCCTCAAGTCCAGAGATGTAATCCGAAGACATGCAGCGATTTCTTCGGTCGTTAATTCAGAAAGAAAAAACCTAGTGCGCTCTGCCTGGCTACATAAGCTAGCTGTTTATATGAGCATTGCCAGGATTTTTGCACCTCCAGAAAAATGGCGTCTTTATAAAAATATATATGGCGCGCGTTGCATTGTGGGTAGCTGTGTGTGAAAGACTAAACTGCTTGTTGTACCTGGTTAGAAGCTAAACTGCATTTCGTTGTCTCAGTACCTGTAATATGTGCAAATGTATTACATATCTGACATTAACGATTAAACACATGTGTGCATTCTTTATAAATGCAATCCGCCAAAAAACCGAGAGAAGAAGAAGAAGAAGAAGAAGAAGAAGAAGAAGAAGAAGAAGAAGAAGAAGAAGAAGAAGAAGAAGAAGAAGAAGAAGAAGAAGAAGAAGAGCTGTCCGACTTCAGGCGAGCTTTTTGAGACCTCCCCCGGCTGCGATCGGCTATTCTCGTCTACTTTCGAGGCGAGCCGCAACGGGTCTCAAACAAGCCTACTGTCTGTCAGTGTCCACACGAGACAGCTCCGTTTAGCTCTGTCACTACCCGATCTGCAGCTCTGCCCGATCTGCAGTGCGCATGTGCGAGATGGTCCGCCATATTGGACAACTCCGGACGGCAACCCAAGTAGGACAATATTGACACAGTGGCTTTTGGCAAAGCTCAAAAATAAAACTCGAGAGAGATGAGTTATTGTTATTACAACGTGACTTCACTATTATTTAACAACTCTTTTTATTAGATTCTTTTATTTGGGGTTAAGTACATTGTCAGAATAAGTGAGAAATGAATTTAACTTCTGTTAGACAGCTATCATACTGAATACATATTTACTGTGAATGTATGCAAAAATGTATGGCATATAGCTGTCTAACAGAAGTTAAATCCATTTCTCACTTATTCTGACAATGTACTTAACCCCAAATAAAAGAACCCAATAAAAAGAGTTGTTAAATAATAGTGAAGTCACGTTGTAATAACAATAACTCATCTCTCTCGAGTTTTCCTTTTGAGCTTTGCCAAAAGCCACTGTGTCAATGTTGTCCTACTTGGGTTGCCGTCCGGAGTTGTCCAATATGGCGGACCATCTCGCACATGCGCACTGCAGATCGGGCAGAGCCGCAGATCGGGTAGTGACAAGTGTCAACCGCTGGAGAAGCTGCAGTACATATGCAGGAGCCTGTATGTGGCGCTGTAACTTCCTCCACAAAAGCAGTGAAGAAGCATGGTTGTCATGGTTGCCCTTCTGTTTATTCTACGCGGTGGGGGCCGAGGGAACCGGGCAGAGTTTTTCACCAGTCAACATGTATTAAAGTTGAAATCTTCCGACAAAATTATAAAAGTGCCGGTCAAAGGTCTTCTTTGTTATTTATTGAGCTTTAAAACAAATGAATAACGACTCTATATATTATAATAATAAAATACACGGAGCCTCTCTTTTTCCTCCCTCTCTTCGGACAGCGCCAGTGTCTGTTTCATGCAGCAGCTGATCCAGTAATGAGTGGGCCGACAGTAAAAATAAACATATTTATAACTAGTTTAGGTAGTTTGAGAGGTGTCTCCGTCCTGTCAGATTAGACTTCACTCGCATTTATGTCCATATCGAGAGAAAGATAAATAATCTGAATTCAGTGTGCAGTTTACTTTGTGAGCAGCAGGGGGCTATTGCCTCATCATTATCAGAAAATGATCGTATAGGGCGTACACACGGAGCCGTTTGACCCCCCAGAGCGTTGCGTATGCCGTTCTATCCCCCTTGGAGCCCGTTATCGTTTCCGCAGTCGTTTAGTGCCGTATTCGGTTGTCCTCGTGTGGCCGAACGGTCTATATGACACTAAGCAGTAACGCAAACGACCGTTTTCGTCCTCGTGTGGCCGGGGCATTTAAGACACGCTTGCAAAACAACTTTAGAACAACCAACACCAGTGTGATTATCTTGGATAGTTCACACCAACACCTGTGAACAACCGCTCACTGCTGGACACCAGCGCCCCTGCTCTGCATGACCCTATTATAACAGCAGGAAGTCACTTTATTTTGGTAACACCTTTTAATTTAAGAGCAGAACATCCCAAAGTGCATCACAAAGTGCTTTCTGAGCATGCTATCAAAATAGGATTGATTACAAGTTACTACACTGTTGAAGAAGTATGTTAGTGAAGGCATCAAAATGACCTTTTAAGTATCAAAATTGCAAATATTCATTATAGTAATTTACTCCAAAACATAAATCCCTGCCATCAAATTGAATTAGAATAAATGTTCCATGTCATTTTCGTGACTAAACAATTGCTATTGTTTATTCTAAATGAAATATGTATCTAATCTAATTAATTATAGTATAATATAATGTGTTCATATTCTGGATCTGATTTACGCCCAAAAAAAAACAACTTAGTTTGTACTGTTTATTTCTAAGACAGTTTATCTTTTTTACAGTGTGATATAATAACAGTGAATTCATTCTAACAATTGCAGTCATTCCACTCCCTTGGGATACAGGATTATTCACAAAGTAAAACAGTGTCCTCTTGTGGGAAACAGTTTGTTCACAAGCTTCCAGAAAGAGTTTCCTCTGTGGCAGAAACATGTGAACTATTGGGATTATTCATATTTATCCTGACGGTTGAGTAAAGCCCGCTCTCTCTCTGCATGAAGGTGCTGTACGGCTCTATGTCCTCTTCCTGCAGAAACACATGTGTATATTTATATAAAAACAGATTCAATAAAAACACATAATTGTTTTTGAAGATGTTAAATGTATAGGTACGTTACCGTGTTTTGGGGTTGTCGTTGTCGTCTGTTGGGTCAAAAAACAATGCATTAGTATTGATGCTGCTTCACTCTGTTTTATTTAAACAACAGGAAATGAAAGGCAGTGTCTTTTTTATACAGAACTGAAAGACAAGAACGTCACACCCAAGACTGCAGTGCATTTAAATATAGCTATTTAAAAGAGCCTAATGCTATGACATTATGAAGCATTTCTAAATAAAGTAATGAATATTGAATAAGCCTCCTACCTCTGACGTGCTTCTCTGTAGAGGAACCCGAGGGTAACTGCAGTTATGATCATGAATACAGCTGCACCAATCAAAATACCTGGGATCTGCATTTGTGTTGAACTGCTTTCCTCTCCATCTTCTCAAATATAAAGAAAAACATGATTGTTAGAAATGTGACACTGGTATTTGCTCTACTTGTAAGAATGTACACAGTTTGATGTAATATTGCATTTACCTTCCACAGTGATGTTCAGATGGTAGATATATGTTCCCTCAGTATAAGAACATTCACAGGTGTGGTTCCCACTGTCCTCTGCTGTTAAATTCATCAGGTGGAGAAACACAGTCTGATTCTCCGTCTTCAGAGAGAACCTGGAGTCACATGTTTGCTCGAAGATCTCTATCGGTTCATACAGCAGAAAACACTCTGCTCCGCTCCTTTCTGTTCTGATCTTACACACTATCATTATGATGGGACTCTGTGTAGTATTAACACATATTTCAGTGACGTCCGGTCCTCTCCCGATGGTTTTCACTATAGTCACTGAAAGAAATCAAAAGTTAAGAAGCTTATGAGAATTTATTTAGTTTAAAATATTGCAAAACTATCATGAACTAGCGCATCCCACTGCCTGAAACACCTCAGTTGGACTCCTTTGGCTACTTCCTGAACATAGTGACATCACTATTGAACACTCAAGCTTCTATTGGCTAGCGCTCCAACACATTGCACGTGAAGCATTAAGGGGCGGGACATCTCAAAACAGAGCCGACCAGCTAACCAATCAGAGCAGACTGGGCTCTGGTTTCAGACAGAGGGTGAAAAGAGGTGCTGCAGCACAGGCAGTATGAGAAAAGTAAAGAGCTTTTTGAACATTAAAGCATGGAGACATGTCCCAGTAGAGAAACTACATACTGATATGAACCTGAGAATTAGCAGGATTTGTTCTCTTTAAACTCTATTAAAGGTGAAAGGGCAGATATTAACCTTAAAAAAAGAATGCAGAAAGTTTGAGTTAGCAGTTGTTTTTGAAGATTTTTTTCACACTAAATCAAATCATTTTAATCCAACTAAAGAAAAACGACTGAAGCTGTTAAGATGTCCTCTTTAAACCAAAGACAGACGTGTTTTCTGTTCATTACCTTCGCACGCAGTCAGTGGCAGAAGCAGAACCAAGAACAGTCTCCATTTTGCGTCCATACCAGTCAAGAAGCGAGTGTATCCTGTTCTGAAGAGAAGAGGACGCACATCTCTGTACACCTAAACCTCACACTCTCACTGGTGGTGAGAAATGTCATTAAAGGAAGTGCTGACAGGAGCTTCTGCTTTCAAATGACGACACTCTTACTGAATCTTAACACTTCTTATGCCGGTGTCGATGCAGATCAGCAGGTCTACAAGCGTAGCCTCCATTGGTCTTGAGGTTAGTTTGAGTTGTTCGTCACAAAACTTGCTAGAAGTTAGATGTCTGCTCTGTGGTCATCCCATATTTAGAGGCCTGAGCTCAGGCTGTGAATAGAAAGCTGCAGATCGAAGCAATTTTGGTTCCTCACGTCTTTAACAAGTAAACCAGGGTGTCGAATGCATTTGGCAGAGTTTTAAGAAAAGCTACATTAACATATCTCACTTCAAGCACTTTGTTCACATCAACAAACACACTGTTCTCGAATATTAAGGTGTTTTAATCATTTAGTTAGCAATCATGCAGTTGCAATTTATTTTGAAATTACAATAATTAAACACCAATAGCTGAAGTCATGGCAAAAACAATACATTTTTGTCAATTAGTTCATCAACTAAGACTGAGAACAAGAAACATTTACAAAAAACATCAATCCCAAGGATTTAAAAACAAGTGATATGCTAATTTTGTAGCTCATTGTTCTTTTTGTCTTTTGTAAAAATCCATCTTTAAACCTGACAAGTTTTAATAAATGCTGATTTGTTTATGGTTAAAAAGGATATGATTGTAGGATCATCTCAAAAGTTGCCAGCATGTGATCCAGTGCTGTTCTCTTGATCTTTGGTTAAACGTTAGCATAGAGTTTGCAGCTTGCATCAGTCTCTCTGCCGTGTTTCTTCTGGTTCTCCAAAGCACCCGTCTCTCTGCCGGCTGAATTAGAGACACTCTGGTAGAGATCACTGTCTGGCTGTTGGAGGGCTGTGTAGGGGTCATCGGGGTCATCTCCATCCTGGAGAAAATACTAATCTCAATGCAATACTTGTTTTAAAGAGGCCTTACTGTGCTTTTTGGGGTTTACCTTTCCTGTAGTGATATATAGGTTTTGTGCATCATTTATATATTATTTTATACACATTTACCGACTGCTTTCTGAGTTTAAAGAAAGCATCACTCACCAAATTGCCAGGATTCTCACACGCAGATGATCTAGATGTGGCTGACCTTGAACAGACACTTTAAGAAAACAAGAGTTAGTTAAACACCAAATACACACAGAAAATAAAGCATATCTTTGAGAGATATCTGAATATTAAAGAAGTCTCTCACCCTTGATGTATTCTCCTGCAGACACACCAGATGGTAACTGCAGTTATGATGATGAATACAGCTGCACCAATCAAAATACCTGGGATCTGCATTTGTGTTGAACTGCTTTCCTCTCCATCTTCTAAAATGTAATAAAGAAAAACATGTTTGTTAGAAACGTGACACTGGTATTTGCTCTACTTGTAAGAATGTACACAGTTTGATGCAATATTGCATTACCTTCCACAGTGATGTTCAGATGGTAGATATATGTTCCCTCAGTATAAGAACATTCACAGGTGTGGTTCCCACTGTTCTCTGCTGTTAAATTAATCAGGTGGAGAAACACAGTCTGATTCTCCGTCTTCAGAGAGAACCTGGAGTCACATGTTTGCTCGAAGATCTCTATCGGTTCATACAGCAGAAAACACTCTGCTCCGCTCCTTTCTGTTCTGATCTTACACAGTATGAGTGTGATGTTACTCTGTGTAGTATTAACACATATTTCAGTGACGTCTGGTCCTCTCCCGATGGTTCTCACTATAGTCACTGCAATAAAAGTAAAGTTAAAAAGCTTATGAGAATTTCTTTAGTTTAACATATTGCAAAACTATCATAAACTAGCGCATCCCACTGCCTGAAACACCTCAGTTGGACTCCTTTGGCTACTTCCTGAACATAGTGACATCACTATTGAACACTCAAGCTTCTATTGGCTAGCGCTCCAACACATTGCACGTGAAGCATTAAGGGGCGGGACATCTCAAAACAGAGCCGACCAGCTAACCAATCAGAGCAGACTGGGCTCTGGTTTCAGACAGAGGGTGAAAAGAGGTGCTGCAGCACAGGCAGTATGAGAAAAGTAAAGAGCTTTTTGAACATTAAAGCATGGAGACATGTCCCAGTAGAGAAACTACATACTGATATGAACCTGAGAATTAGCATGATTTGTTCTCTTTAAACTCTATTAAAGCTGAAAGGGCAGATATTAACCTTAAAAAAAGAATGCAGAAAGTTTGAGTTAGCAGTTGTTTTTGAAGATTTTTTTCACACTAAATCATATCATTTTAATCCAACTAAAGAAAAACGACTGAAGCTGTTAAGATGTCCTCTTTAAACCAAAGACAGACGTGTTTTCTGTTCATTACCTTCGCACGCAGTCAGTGGCAGAAGCAGAACCAAGAACAGTCTCCATTTTGCGTCCATACCAGTTAAGAAGCGAGTGTATCCTGTTCTGAAGAGAAGAGGACGCACATCTCTGTACACCTAAACCTCACACTCTCACATAGGTGGTGAGAAATGTCATTAAAGGAAGTGCTGACAGGTGCTTCTGCTTTCAAATGACGACACTCTTACTGAATCTTAACACTTCTTATGCCGGTGTCGATGCAGATCAGCAGGTCTACAAGCGTAGCCTCCATTGGTCTTGAGGTTAGTTTGAGTTGTTCGTCACAAAACTTGCTAGAAGTTAGATGTCTGCTCTGTGGTCATCCCATATTTAGAGGCCTGAGCTCAGGCTGTGAATAGAAAGCTGCAGATCGAAGCAATTTTGGTTCCTCACGTCTTTAACAAGTAAACCAGGGTGTAGAATGCATTTGGCAGAGTTTTAAGAAAAGCTACATTAACATATCTCACTTCAAGCACTTTGTTCACATCAACAAACACACTGTTCTCGAATATTAAGGTGTTTTAATCATTTAGTTAGCAATCATGCAGTTGCAATTTATTTTGAAATTCCAATAATTAAACACCAATAGCTGAAGTCATGGCAAAAACAATACATTTTTGTCAATTAGTTCATCAACTAAGACTGAGAACAAGAAACATTTACAAAAAACATCAATCCCAAGGATTTAAAAACAAGTGATATGCTAATTTTGTAGCTCATTGTTCTTTTTGTCTTTTGTAAAAATACATCTTTAAACCTGACAAGTTTTAATAAATGCTGATTTGTTTATGGTTAAAAAGGATATGATTGTAGGATCATCTCAAAAGTTGCCAGCATGTGATCCAGTGCTGTTCTCTTGATCTTTGGTTAAACGTTAGCATAGAGTTTGCAGCTTGCATCAATCTCTCTGCCGTGTTTCTTCTGGTTCTCCAAAGCACCCGTCTCTCTGCCGGCTGAATTAGAGACACTCTGGTAGAGATCACTGTCTGGCTGTTGGAGGGCTGTGTAGGGGTCATCGGGGTCATCTCCATCCTGGAGAAAATACTAATCTCAATGCAATACTTGTTTTAAAGAGGCCTTACTGTGCTTTTTGGGGTTTACCTTTCCTGTAGTGATATATAGGTTTTGTGCATCATTTATATATTATTTTATACACATTTACCGACTGCTTTCTGAGTTTAAAGAAAGCATCACTCACCAAATTGCCAGGATTCTCACACGCAGATGATCTAGATGTGGCTGACCTTGAACAGACACTTTAAGAAAACAAGAGTTAGTTAAACACCAAATACACACAGAAAATAAAGCATATCTTTGAGAGATATCTGAATATTAAAGAAGTCTCTCACCCTTGATGTATTGTCCTGCAGACACATAAAATGGTAACTGCAGTTATGATGATGAATACAGCTGCACCAATCAAAATACCTGGGATCTGCATTTGTGTTGAACTGCTTTCCTCTCCATCTTCTAAAATGTAATAAAGAAAAACATGTTTGTTAGAAACGTGACACTGGTATTTGCTCTACTTGTAAGAATGTACACAGTTTGATGCAATATTGCATTACCTTCCACAGTGATGTTCAGATGGACGATTTCTGTTCCCTCTTTATAAGAACATTCACAGGTGTGGTTCCCACTGTCCTCTGGTGTTAAATTCATCAGGTGGAGAAACACAGCCTGATTCTCCGTCTTCAGAGAGAACCTGGAGTCACATGTTTGCTCGAAGATCTCTATCGGTTCATACAGCAGAAAACACTCTGCTCCGCTCCTTTCTGTTCTGATCTTACACAGTATGAGTGTGATGTTACTCTGTGTAGTATTAACACATATTTCAGTGACGTCTGGTCCTCTCCCGATGGTTTTCACTATAGTCACTGCAATAAAAGTAAAGTTAAAAAGCTTATGAGAATTTCTTTAGTTTAACATATTGCAAAACTATCATACACTAGCGCATCCCACTGCCTGAAACACCTCAGTTGGACTCCTTTGGCTACTTCCTGAACATAGTGACATCACTATTGAACACTCAAGCTTCTATTGGCTAGCGCTCCAACACATCGCACGTGAAGCATTAAGGGGCGGGACATCTCAAAACAGAGCCGACCAGCTAACCAATCAAAGCAGACTGGGCTCTGGTTTCAGACAGAGGGTGAAAAGAGGTGCTGCAGCACAGGCAGTATGAGAAAAGTAAAGAGCTTTTTGAACATTAAAGCATGGAGACATGTCCCAGTAGAGAAACTACATACTGATATGAACCTGAGAATTAGCATGATTTGTTCTCTTTAAACTCTATTAAAGGTGAAAGGGCAGATATTAACCTTAAAAAAAGAATGCAGAAAGTTTGAGTTAGCAGCTGTTTTTGAAGATTTTTTTCACACTAAATCATATCATTTTAATCCAACTAAAGAAAAACGACTGAAGTTGTTAAGATGTCCTCTTTAAACCAAAGACAGACGTGTTTTCTGTTCATTACCTTCGCACGCAGTCAGTGGCAGAAGCAGAACCAAGAACAGTCTCCATTTTGCGTCCATACCAGTCAAGAAGCGAGTGTATCCTGTTCTGAAGAGAAGAGGACGCACATCTCTGTACACCTAAACCTCACACTCTCACATAGGTGGTGAGAAATGTCATTAAAGGAAGTGCTGACAGGAGCTTCTGCTTCCAAATGACATTACATTACATTACATTGCATTTAGCTGACGCTTTTGTCCAAAGCGACTTACAATAAGTACATTAGACCAGGAAGACACAACCTTGAAGAAAACAGAATCATATAAGTATATCAGGTTTCATAGAGCCAAACATTTCAAGTGCTACTCAACTGGCTTTAGGTAATCCAGTCCTTTATTGGTATAAAAGTGCTTCGTTAATCGTTCTAACGCTCGAAGTGGAGTCGAAAGAGATGAGTTTTCAGTTTGCGCCGGAAGATGTGCAAGCTATCTGCCGTCCTGATGTCAATGGGGAGCTCATTCCACCATCTTGGAGCCAGGATAGCAAACCCACGTGTTTTCGCCGATGGGAACTTGGGTCCCCCTCGCAGCGAGGGCGCAACGAGTCGTTTGGCGACACTCTTACTGAATCTTAACACTTCTTATGCCGGTGTCGATGCAGATCAGCAGGTCTACAAGCGTAGCCTCCATTGGTCTTGAGGTTAGTTTGAGTTGTTCGTCACAAAACTTGCTAGAAGTTAGATGTCTGCTCTGTGGTCATCCCATATTTAGAGGCCTGAGCTCGGGCTGTGAATAGAAAGCTGCAGATCGAAGCAATTTTGGTTCCTCACGTCTTTAACAAGTAAACCAGGGTGTTGAATGCATTTGGCAGAGTTTTAAGAAAAGCTACATTAACATATCTCACTTCAAGCACTTTGTTCACATCAACAAACACACTGTTCTCGAATATTAAGGTGTTTTAGTCATTTAGTTGGCAATCATGCAGTTGCAATTTATTTTGAAATTCCAATAATTAAACACCAATAGCTGAAGTCATGGCAAAAACAATACATTTTTGTCAATTAGTTCATCAACTAAGACTGAGAACAAGAAACATTTACAAAAAACATCAATCCCAAGGATTTCAAAAGAAGTGATATGCTAATTTGGTAGCTCATTGTTATTTTTGTCTTTTGTAAAAATACATCTTTAAACCTGACAAGTTTTAATAAATGCTGATTTGTTTATGGTTAAAAAGGATATGATTGTAGGATCATCTCAAAAGTTGCCAGCATGTGATCCAGTGCTGTTCTCTTGATCTTTGGTTAAACGTTAGCATAGAGTTTGCAGCTTGCATCAGTCTCTCTGCCGTGTTTCTTCTGGTTCTCCAAAGCACCCATCTCTCTGCCGGCTGAATTAGAGACACTCTGGTAGAGATCACTGTCTGGCTGTTGGAGGGCTGTGTAGGGGTCATCGGGGTCATCTCCATCCTGGAGAAAATACTAATCTCAATGCAATACTTGTTTTAAAGAGGCCTTACTGTGCTTTTTGGGGTTTACCTTTCCTGTAGTGATATATAGGTTTTGTGCATCATTTATATATTATTTTATACACATTTACCGACTGCTTTGTGAGTTTAAAGAAAGCATCACTCACCAAATTGCCAGGATTCTCACACGCAGATGATCTAGATGTGGCTGACCTTGAATAGACACTTTAAAGAAAGGAAGAGTTAGTTAAACACCAAATACACACAGAAAATAAAGCATATCTTTGAGAGATATCTGAATATTAAAGAAGTCTCTCACCCTTGATGTATTGTCCTGCAGACACATAAAATGGTAACTGCAGTTATGATGATGAATACAGCTGCACCAATCAAAATACCTGGGATTGGTATTTGAGTGAAAATGCTGCCGTCTACATCTTCTAAAACATCTTGAAGAAAATAAAATGGTTAGAAAAAGAACACTTGTGAGAAATGCACCAAGTAGGCATGATGCAAACGTGTTTAAAATCTACATTTACCTTCCACAGTGATGTTCAGATGCAGGATATATGTTCCCCCATTATGAGAACATTCACAGGTGTGCTTCCCACTATCCTCTGGTGTTAAATTCATCAGGTGGAGAAACACAGTCTGATTCTCCGTCTTCAGAGAGAACCTGGAGTCACATTGATGCTTGAAGCCCTCTATCGGTTCATACAGCAGAAGACATTCTTCATTCCTTTCTGTTCCGATCTTACACATTAAGAGTGTGATGTTACTCAGTGGAGTATTCACACATATTTCAGTCACGTCTGGTGCTCTCCCGATGGTTTTCATTATAGTCACTGCAAAAAAAGTAAAGTTAAAAAGCGAGTTAAAAGGATATTTGACTCCTTATCTAACAAAGTACAAACTGACAAAGAAAAGCTCCTGTACTGTACCTTCAGAGCCAAAACAGAGGGGCAGAATCAGAGAATAAAACAGAGTCAGTCAGTCCATCCATCCATATTGACAGACGAGTAACAGTTCTGCAGGCGGTAGACAAACTAAAGGCGGAAGAGCAGATATTAACCTCAAACTACCTGAAAACCTTTCCGGAGAAGGAAGTGCTTCAACCGTCATGTCAAGGCCCCTTTTAGATCTCATTGAAGAGGACCCATTGTGCTTTCGGGGTTCTCCTTCTCTTTACAATAGGAAACTTACCCTGTAAGCCGAGGTGTTTGATGATTAGTTGCAGTGTTATGCGTTTTCCACAGGATTTAAAGCAAACAATCCCAGCAGAGTTTGATTTACTTGGAATAATACTTTTTATTTTTCAGAAGAAAGGAATTTTGGAATGGACTTTAACAAAACAAACATGCATCACTTTAGAGACAGGGAGTTTCAGATGTCATACCCAGGTAAAAGTAGTTATACCAAATAGTAGAAATACTCTGATACAAGTAAAATCCCTTTAGAATAATTTTAGAATAGATATGCATATATATAGTGATTATGTTTATTTGTATGCCAGTTTAAATGTGCAATCCCTTGTTAACATGCTATGACAAGAAAAAGAGCCACATTGAGAGCACCCTCCCCTCAGGTTTTAGCCGTGGTCCAGATAGAGTAGCCGTGTGAGAAGTGGACGTACAGAGCGACTGCCTAAAAACCTGTGAACACCGTCACCATGAGAATAAAGACCCTCTGCGTCCAGAGACAGCGCTCCAGCCTCTGCTCCAGACGAGAGCTGCACACCATCAGCTGCAGGAGCTGAGGAAGAGGAGGAGACGGGTTCATAGGCCTATACATTCATGTATCACACTGCTGGAGCACTCGACTGACGAGAATCCTTAGCTGATTTACATCCTGCAGGAGGTGCCAACTGAGTCTGAAAAGAGAACAAATAAGATCAAAAACGGGTTAACTTCATCTAATACATGTTACATTCCTACTTAACATGTTGTATATTTACCTTTGTGCTTCCGGGATCTCCTCCCAGAACCGGGCCTGGTCCAGATGTCCATGTGTGGCACTCTGATCACTTTCAGCTGCCATGCCGAGTAAATGGCTTTCCCTGTGCAGAAACATTTAAAATGAGCTTTAACTACAAAAAGGACAAGAAGTGAAAGACCTGTTGGGCATGGCTGTGTGACAGATCATGGTTCAGACCTACAAAGCCTAGTAACTAAGTACATGTACTTGAAAACAAGGTCGTTTTTAAAGAAACGTAGTGGATACAGAGACAAAGCTACAAATGATACTGTAGAAGAGGAATCATTGTGGTACATTGAACTGGCCACCATATATCAAATATTAAAACACACCATAAATGATTATATAACCCTAATTTGGAACATGTTGCATCTTCATATTTGGATGGATAAAGCGTTGTTTTAGTACCTCAGTAAAGTAAATACTTCCTGCAGACCTACCTTCACACAGGAACAGAAGGATTCCCAGGAGGTCGGAGCGGCACAGCCGTCTGTCCGAGGTCCATGAGGAGTCTGCAGAGATACAGGTAACACGCTCTGTAACTGGAGTACAGAGTCATCTGATTAGATTTCCTCCACTGTAGCATTGTGTTGGAATCAAATTGTACCCCACCCATTCCCCCCAGTGTGTGACTTTACTGGGAAAACCCCTCTCATAGTGAAAATCCTGAAGATATTGCAGTTTAATTGTTAAAGCAAGGTTAAACTGCATCGCTCAATCACAACAACACTGTATGAAAAGGGTTAAACTTGTCACATAGAGGCACAAAATACATGAGCCACGGTATTTAAATCTTTTTAAAAGAAGAACATAGCATTTATAACCCACTTATTTATACATTGACTGCTACTTACACAGCAATCTGATATTCAAGGAAGTCATAATTGATAATGTTGAGAAAACTTTTTTTTTTGCAATATAGAAAACACTTTATTTTGTGTTCACTCATCCAGTCAGACATCAGAAGAGGAAATGTGTTTTGAAAAGCCACATCTGTCTTTTTGCATCCCTCTGAAAGCTCTGAAGCCCCGAGCCAAAGCATGACCCAGATATACACTCAAACATGTCTCTCTCACACACACAGTGCAGAAATACTCAGTTTTACACACCCTTGTCCTGAAATAGAATTGTGTCCTTGCTCACATTAAGTTAAAAACATATATTTCTCTCATTTAGAAAAAGTAGGTTTCAACCTTCTGGATTTCAGACAATGAAAACAGCTTGAGTACACGTGAAGTCAAATTACGTAGGAAAATGAACATCATTTTGATGTATAGACTGTGATAGAGATTAGACTTCACCTTTGACCCTGATGAAATGTCATTCATGCCCATGTCCACAGCCTTATAGGTTGACCTTAAACAAAACAGAACAAACTGTAAGAGGCTGTAAACATGGATAAAAAGAGCATTATTAGACAAAAAGGCTTTCAAAACTGGTCGAAATAGAAGATACCTCACTATAACAGAAAATCACTCAATAGAGGTAAACATATGAGACAATAAAAAACATTCTTACGAGGATGAGAAAAACCAGGTAATAGTCAAAAATCCAAAAGGACAGAGCATCAAACAAAACTTGGCTCGGATACAAAAGGACAATATAAAAACATGGACCTGACGCTGTCTGATAGATGGAACGAGACGAACTAGCACAAGACAAAGGGAGACAGACAGGGCCGATAGATAGGGTAGGGGACACAGGTGAAAACAATCAGGGCGTGGTCCATCCGAAACGAGAGGGTGAGGTTCCTACAAAATAAAACAGGAAGTCACAAGACAACATAGGTACAAGACAAGACAGAACTAAATACATTAATTTAACAGATACAACGAGACAAAACACTATACTATATATCGTGTTTTACTCGGTTTTACTACAAGAGTATTACACCTAATACTATGTCAAATTCCATCCATACTATGTCTATATATTTCTGTTATTTGTTTAACTTAATTCTGCTGCAATAATTTAATTTATAGGATTAATATTAGCAATCTTATGTCCTGCAGGAGCGCGCAGTGTCCGCTAGATGGCGCCAATTAACACGATGTATTTGCCTTCGCCCAAAGGCTGCTGGGAAATCTACCAGTCCACCCGGAAGTATCCATCACAACACAACATGGAGGTAAATGTGCGCAAATGAGATGCTTACAGCAAGTAAATACATCTTAAACTTCACATGTATTAACTTTAGTTGCACGGTTTAGTTTTTGGCGTTCATTTGATGCTTTCAAAATGTCCTCAGCGTGTTTCTGCCATTCCTTTTAAACCCTGAACGTTAACTGTTTTAGAGTCGTATTATTACTATAGTAGTTTAACGTATTCATATTCAGCTGCTTCCTCTTAATACGCTAGGTTTATCTTTCAGAATTAGTAATAACGTGACATTTTGCCAGCTTTCTAATTTATCCTATCAATTCTTAAAACATAACGGGGTCAAATTCATTACTTCAAAAGTCTTTAGAATTATTCAGAGCAATCGACCGAGAGAGAAGTTGCCCAAACGTTTGCATGCAGTTCAAAACATACTTTTACTTGCTTACATCAGGAAGTACAATTTTTTTGGTTTGAATTTGGTCTTACAGTTTATTTTTAGTGGCATAACAAAGTCTTAAATGTAACTTGCCCTGAGCTGTAGGAACTCTGTTTCCATTCTCCTCTGATCTTTGGAAGTTGACAACACATTAAGTGTTTGATCTGATTCACTGCCAGTTGGAAACATTTCTGTGCAAAAGTGCCTGGAATAGCTTCTAAAGTTATCTAAAACTGGCTTGTTAAGAAAAGACTGAGAAAACAATGCAATAACCATCAATCTTTCTCACTACTAGGAGAACATAAGCAGTGTGATGTCCAGGTTCTCCAGCCCTGTGTACAGCCGCTACTGGCAGCACTACCAGCAAGCCATGGCCTGGCACCAGAGGCACCACCGGGCCTACAGGAAGGCCCTGGAGGCCGCCTACGGCCCGCCTCACAGCCAGGCTCACGGCCAGGCTCACAGCCAGGAGCCGTGTCCCAGCAGCCAGCGGTACACAGACTGGAACGCAGGACAGGAAGACGGAGAGGACGGGGACGAGGAGAGCAGCTCGGACAGCGAGATCGAGTGTGACGTCAGCAACATGGAGATCAGCGAGGAGCTGCGGGAGTACTTCGCCCACACAGAGAAACACAGAGTGGAGCTGAGTAAGAGAACAGGGCGCTGAGAGAAAGAGTGTGACATCATAGTTTAGTGCATTCCCTGAATCCATTGTTCTTGTCCTTGCAGAGAAGCAGCAGCAGATCGAGGCGGAGGAGCATGAGAGCTACGTGCCTGCAGACCAGGACCTGCGCAGCGGCTCCTGGAGAAACAGCATGGCCCCCCCCTCAGAGAGACCCGGAGAGAGACGCGGGGCCGAGATGAAGAAGCTCTACGGCGAGGACGCCGCCAAGATCCAGGCCATGGAGGCGGCCATGCAGCTCAACTTCGACAGACACTGTGACCTCAAACAGCCCAAATACTGGCCCGTCATCCCGCTGAAACTGTGACGCCTGTTCTGCAGGAACCCCTCCTCCGATCTGCCCGTGAGACGCCACTGCATCGAAGCTGCTGATGTGGAAGTAACAGTGTGGGTGAACTGAGGGGTTATTTTAAGCACACCAAAAAGTAGATCTTCCGCTCAGCCAGTCTCGAATGTCACCGACCCCTCAGCTGCTGCTCCAAATGAAAACGATTGTTATGCTCACATCATTTAGAATTGTTGTGGCTTTAACAGAAGTTATTATATAAGAGTCTTTTTGGGAGATTCCAGTAAAGTCTGGTCTGGTTAAGTAAAGCGCTCCTGTACGTGATGTAAATATATTCAAACGTGTTTCCTCTTGTGTTTCTGTTCACCCTCTTCCTCACTGATGCTACATTGCTCCTCTTTTGCATGTCAACTCAGTTTAACCCCCCCCTTCCCTCTCCTTAAATGTAGGAGCGTTCCCACGTGACCGCATCTGATATTCCCGTTTCCTCAAAGAGAGATTTGTTGATGTTGCCTCTCATTCTGACAGTTCATCGCGTTCAAAGACATTCGCGTTGTTTCTCCTCAGGAGCGTTCACTATTCTGTTTTATCTTGTGCTTCCACCCCCCTTTGCCTTTTTTTAAACTGAAGGATTTTAATTTCAAACTTGTTCATAATAAAGTGTTTTCTGATAAAAGCTGCTGTGTCAGTTGTGATTTCTCTATTTCACTTTTTTCTAATAGGACTCTAGTTCTGGATTTTCTTTACGACTATTAGTTTTCTCTGCTAAAAAGCATCAGGCATTACTGAAGCTACATTTTTTTTCAAACTCTGAGCCTAACAGATAATCTCAAAAAGCAGCTTTTGGGCAGTTCATTTCTACATCTAAAATATAGTATGTATAAAATAAATGTGCACTTAACCTGCATATTTGTTTACTTAAGTAAAAGCTCCAACATAACATTGAAAAATACTCCAAAATAAGTCCTCCATTAAAATCTATTTTTGGTAAAAGTACTGAAGCTTACTGCGGTTGTTAAATCTTTAACCATAGTTGAGAATAAAGTAGCAGAACACTCCAGTAAAGTAGTTGTGAACTACTTTCCACAACTTAATTGAAGGAATGTGTTCTGTTATTTTATTATAGATGTATTCTATAGTTGACTGTTTAAAAATAATACTTTCAATTAAGTTTTGGGATTGATTAAATGTATTGCTAGCATGCACACTTCGCATTTTTACCCAAAATAATTAGCTAAGAATATCACTAAAAAATGGGAGATATTTAATTTAGAATAGTATGCAGTTTGGTAAATAATGCCTCTAAATAATACAGTAGCTTTCATTTGTATTTAATAGCGCGTGGAGAACAAATCAGGACACTTGGGAGAGGATTAAGGAGTCTGATCCATTTCTAGATGCAGTGACGTCACGTTTCCACCCCTTAACCCCGCCCCCACCGATTCCTAACCGGGACGTCCAGTTGTTTGTGTATGCACCCCCCTCCAAACAACCTGTGGAAACCTCTTTGTCACTTACTTTAGTCAGAGCCAGCTGGAACATGGGTAAGTGAACTATTCTCTACATTTGTATTTGCTTTTGTCTCAACAGTAGAATAATTGGGGTTGTTTTTGTTGTTGTTTTTGATGCTGTCAGCTGACGCGCGCGTGTGTTGCGCATGAAGCAGCGTGTGTGATTTTCATTTGCATGTCTGCTAATTACTTATAAAAATGCTTAAACAAAGACAGTCTTTAAAGTTCTTGTAGCTTTTTGGAAGCTTTAGCAACATTATCCTCTGGAGGAAGTTAGTTTTGGACATCTTGGCGCACTCGTCAAAGTGTGCACGCTGCAGATAAATAGCTAATGCAATGCATGGGGAAGAAAATACATGCAAAAGTGTGCAGTGGGTTGCATGTCACAGGACATAACAGCAAAATAGGAGCAAGTTATACAAAATATTCCAATACTGCATGCATTTTCCAGGTTTATTCAAAGACATAACTTGTAATGCGAGTTTTACCTGAACATTCTCAAAAGTGTCTTTTAAAAGATATTTCTGGTGCAAACATCTCCTCTTGCAAGATACAAAGTGACTGTATCCTCCGCGTCAGCTCCTCATGTGAGAGTTTGATGCTGATTGGATTAAGAGCTCCATCACTGTGGATTAAAGAGCCGGACCAGGTGGGAAACAATGTATGTTGTGTGCTGTGGAAGTGCCACAGGAAGTGCAGATATTCTTCATTTCTATAAGATTCAAAGATATAAGACAAATGGCCCCTGGGGACATGTAAGGGGCCCCTCACCCAATCTAAAGACACTTAAAACCAAAGAGTCTCAAATAATCTACTTTTAGTCATTTTGCATCTATTTTTAGACGTCTCATTGTGTGTCTCCTATTGGTCGTGTGCTCTCTGTAGTAGTTTTGCATTTTTAGCCATTTTGTGTGTCTTTCTATGAATGCTGCATCTTTTTTAGTAGTAACACTTCTTTGAGTCATTTTTGAATGCTTTTGGTAGCTTGCTGTATATTTGAGGCCATTGATCATAGGAGGAGGTGAATGAATAAAACACATATTCAATTTGAGATGATAGAAAACAGATTTAAGAGGCTACTGGTTTCTGATGAGTGATTTGCAGACATTGAGGATTGAAAGGCAGCATTCAGACGGCCACCGATCCAACAACTTCTCCTAGCGTTTCTCTTTCATTCACAACATCTGTTTCCAATAAAGCAGCAGGCCTGTTTATCGCCTTCAGGCCGGTGAGAAGTTGAGAACAGACAGGAAGGAGTGGAGTAACATGATTTACTGCGACGAGGGGAACCGCAGCAATTTCTCTGCTGGAAGCCATCGTAAAACGTCTCTTCTTTTGCCTGTCCCGCCCAAAACTGCTACTTTAGTCTCATCATCGTCAGCATCCCGTCTTTCATCTGCTCCTCTCGTTGACTCCATCATTATTCCTCCTCCTCCTCCTCCTCCTCCTCCTCCTCCTCCTCCTCCTCCTCCTCCTCCTCCTCCTCCTCCTCCTCCTCCTCCTCCTCCTCCTCCTCCTCCTCCTCCTCCTCCTCCTCCTCCATGAATTCTCTCTTTGTGCTCGCTGCAGCCTTCGTCTCGTGGACATATCCTCTCGCATCCTCTCTGGAGAATTTGCTTCGCTGATCTGCAGCATTGATGCCGAATGTAACAGCCGACAAGCAGACACACTTCAAAGGCTGCACATTTCTTAAAGAAGGCTTTTATTCTGAAGGAATAAATGATCACTCGGC